TGAGTATCAGAGTGTTCCATCTCATTTCCCTTTGGGGTTGCTGTAGGTGATCTGGAAGTCTGGTTTTGGGACTTATTTACGTGTTTTCTCATTTCAACTGGGGGGGCGGGGGGCTGTTGGCACCTCCTCGGATTACCTCTGAGCTGGGAGAGGTGGGACGGGGCCAGTAGCAGAGGTAGTGATGGTGGCCTGGAAACCCCTTCCTCTGGGCTGGGAGTGGTGGGAAGGATGGTGGCCAGGAAGCCCCTTTCTCTGAACCAGGAGCAGTGGGAATGTGATTCAGAAGCCCCTTCCTCTGGGCCAGGAGCAGCAGGAGGGATGGTAGCTGGGAAGCCCCTTCCTCTGGACCAGGAGCAGTGGGATGGCAGCTCAGAAGCCCCTACCTCTTTTCGAGGAGCTGAGGTAGTGATGGCAGCCTGGAAGCCCCTTCCTGTGGGCTGGGAGCATGGTGGCCCAAAAGCCTTTTCCTCTGGGCCAGGAGTGACAGGATGGATCTCTGTGGCTAATTTTATTATACCATTTAACCTAATATATGTAAAATTAATATTACACCAAACTTGCCAAGCCTAAATTCTGTTTTAAAAACTGAGTTTGATAGAAGCAATTGAAGTAAAACAAGTAATTCTATTATAACTGAGATTTGACTTTCAACTACTAGTCATAATTATATGAGTACATTAAATGTCCTAACACATTCCAAAGGTTTAACAGTGGATGTAAATGTTAGGAACATTTAAAATCTGCTTTCAGGTGCAAAAAGAAAAAAGGAAGAGATTCTTCCTTTCACCTTCCAAAAACAGTTGAAGAGAAGTGATGGCAGAGGACGAGATCTGGTGTATTAATATTAAAGTCAAGTTGTCAGTTTATTACCCGTGCTTGGTCACAATCTCTTTTGATGTAGAATTGCTCATTAGAAAGAGACCATCTGGCTAATTTGTAATCATTTTATAATTCCAAAATGAAAGAGCCATATAGATACTTACATTTATCACATTGGCTAAAATATTGTTTCAATGAGGAAAAATAAATTCAAGTTTAACAAATGACATGTCAGTAAAAATAAGGCTTTAATCAAGGTTAATTTATGAAGGTACACTATTACATATATTTTTACAAAATTATCTTAACATACTGAATAAATATCCCAAATTTTGTTAAACCACTTTTACTTGACTAGATTTACACTTTAAATGATACTCAGATGTCTTAATTATTTAATTAGTTTTACAATTAAAATTATTTTAGGCTCTTATTAACTTATGCCAAAATTATTTTAAGTGGAAATATTATACAAAGTGATTTTTAGTTCTCTGTGTATATACAGTCACTTCTTTTGTGAGCTTTGGACCAGTAAATATGCATGCAAGAAACCATGTTACTTTATTCTTAAGAATGTTTTTAGATTCTTTGAACTAGTATGATAGTGACATTTAATCTTTGGATTCTATTATACTTCGCTATCACTATGCTATATAGGAAAAAACATAATAGAAAATGAGAGGAGAAAATTATGTAGATATCATAGAAAAAATCTATTTTAATTAGAAAAGCCTCCAGTGATGTAATTTTTCATCATTTTCCTTTTATATTATTTCAAATATTCCTTAGGCATTAAAACATGACCAAAAAATATCATTTAAAGTAGCACCATATGGAAATGTAAGTTTAAAAGGTTCCATTTATGGCATTATATAATTTTAAATATATTTCTCTCTATTGTATGTTCATATCACATTTTCAAAGTTGTTTACTAGCAATAACATTTTTTGCCCCAACTCTATCCATTGATTTAGCATTTCGTTTCTTCCAGCTACTTAATTATCTCCATGTTCAAAGTTTATATAAGTATTTCTGCAATACAGGACATGAAAGTGTGCTGTATCCATTATTGGTAGGAACTGTAAGTGACACAGAGCTGGATGAATCTTATGATTTTATATGAAGACTTTCACCTAAGGACATAATGGACCTGTGGCTTGTAGAGAAAAATGGTAACATTGCAAGCTAGGGACTGAACTAAAATCTCATCCTAATTCATGTATTACTACATGAAAAGCTTGAGGATATGAAAGAACTTTCCAAGCTTTTCTCACTTTTGAAATGCTTAAAAAAGTTTTTGATTAATAGCTTTTGATACTTTTAATGATGTCATGGATAGGCTGAAGGTGCCTTATTAATTCCACTGACTTTCTGCCAAATACAGGCAACTCACGATTACTAAGTAAATCTTTTCTGATTATGAAAATCCATTACAGTAAAAAAATATAAGATTCAGAAAAGTAGAAACAACATAAAAAGTATTAGAATAAATTTATAAGACCAGAATGTTTGGACATGGGTTTAAAATTCCCCTGGAAGGATTTGTTTTAAGATTATAAAATATCTTTGTGTATATGAATATGTAAACCATTATTTCATCCTTAAATTACAGAGATCATGTTTTTCATTTTTTTAAACTCTTCTTAAAATTCCCAACCACAAGCTCAAAACACAATGAGGTATAAGCCTGAAATGATTTACTTAACTTTATTACATTAATCAGCTAACAAGATCTTCTCCAATTTTGAAGTCTGGGAAAACCCAGTTATTACCTTCTTACTATGCCTTCCCAAAATTGTCCCATTTGCTGGCACGTTAAAAGATTCTAAGAATGTTCTAAAGAAACAAATTCACCTCTACGAATGAGTATGCCCTGAACTTACAAATTGTTTTCTTTTATTTTCCTTCTCCCTGAATTTATTTTCAATTAAAATAAATTTCATCCTTGAATGTATGTACATAACTCCGTGGTCAGGACCTGTCCTCCTATCATCAAATATACATATTGAAATCCTTAAAGATTGTGCTTATACTTTAAGGCAAATTACCTTTGCTAGCATACCAAAAACCCCAGGGTGGGTGTATTAAAAACTATAAGGACATTCTGCTTTTACTTTTTTAGCCAAATGGACATGTTTTATTCAGGATGCTGAAACAAAATCCTTATTCAGCTCATCCACATTACCTTTGGGGATCAGCCATTTTTTCCTAAATCCTAGAGGTCTTAGTGCCTCTTATGTGTCCTTTCCCTCCTCCATCCCCACCTCCAGGGCCCTTTACCTCTTCACCCTCATCCCTTCACTCCTTCACCCTGGCTCCCTGCACTGGTCAGCTCTCTCCTGCCAGAAGGCTTCAGTGAGTTCCAGCACCCTTTAACATCAGTTGCTGATTTCCCTTCAGGATCTTAATTTTCTTCACAGGGTAAACTTACCTCCCTCCCATTCAGAGGATGGCGATGACACCTGTATATACCCTATATCTCTTAGCATCATAGCCTCTCTGTTGCAGCTATCATTACAGATGCCACTTGACATTTAATGAAGTCATTTTTTCTTGTTTCTATCATGTAGCAGTACTGAAGTCAGGGATCATAATTTCTTCCCCATTATCAACCTCAAGCATCTATATGCCTACCACAAAATAGGTACATATTCTCTGTGAACTGAGTAATAATAGATGAAAGGCAGTCAGACCACACCAACACTAGCACACCTCCAGAAGACAGAACATGTGAGTAAACACAGATCATCTTTCTGTGAACTCTGTGATCCAGTAGCATTTATAGTGGCTCAAGTTGTTGTTTAGCTTTGTTTTCCAAGAGCTTAGTAACACTCTCCAGTATGTATATGTAAACACACACACAAAGGTAACAGTATTTTTAGTGGTTAAAACTGCTATCCAGAACAGGCATAAATTGGGGCATTGTTTTGGTGGTGGTTGTTTTTAATAACCTATGTTTTTAAAAGTCTCTGAGAGCTAAAGACTACTTTGCATTATGATCCTGCAGGAAAAGTCTGAGTTGAGCAGAGTTAGATAGAGATCTCAGGATGCTGAAGGAAGCTGATGAAAACATTAGGTCCATACATTCAGACAACAGTTCCTGATGATAAACCTCATTTTCCTTCTGGCAGTTTCTCCAGAGATGGTGAAAAAGAAGAGCAAACTTTAATTAAAATGTAATAGCTACCAGTGTAGGATAGGCTGTAGATACTCATTTTATCTCTGTTTTTTTTTTTTACTATTCTGACTTGTGTAAATTTTTTTTAAAAATAGAAGCAGGTTTTTCAAGCAGAAAACCTACTTTACATTGGCTTTGGGTGTCCTCTTCATTAACTGGTTTTTTCACATGTGACAGGGGAATAATGCTGACAATCACCACTGAGGAATAAGAAATCAGTTACAGAAAGTGTGTAGCCCTGAGTGGTCTCACAGTGTCTGCCCCTCCTCTCCTGGTAAAACTCCATTTTATGCAGCCCATACTTTACCCAGTTATCTGTATGATGAAATTACTCTAACATCATTTATTTTAACTTAAGAAAACTGAAAGTAGTTTTCAAAGAGAGAGAAGGACTTTCTTTTTCTCAACAAAGTGTTTGCCTTTTAAATTTACACACACACAAAATGTTTGATTATAAAGTCCAATTTGGAATATAAGGCTAAGCTTTGCTTTCACTTGTTAAAAAGTTTTTAAACATTAAGAAAATAATACTTTTCTATATTATCCACTCTCTCTCTCCCTCTCTCCCTCCCTCCCTCCCTCCCTCTCTCTCATTTCTACCATTCTCCCTGCCCCCAATAAACACTCTACATTTTTATGCTTCCTCAGAAATAGAGAATGAGGTCACTCTCAAAACCTCCAAAGAGTTTACTAGTAGTAAAGTTCCAGTTAAATCTCTCCACTGTTTGGTCACTGGATTCTTCATTTTGTCCAAAGCTGATTGAAGGTCTTGTAACACATCTCTGTAGCTATCTCCATAGTGAGCACTCCAAGTATAGAGAAAATCATAGGCAGGTTTCCACATCATCTATAAAGAAAAAAGAAATTAGACTGGAGCAGTGGGGAAGTAGAACACAGAGGACAACAGATGTTCATAAAAAAGATTTAAAAGTCTCTATAGTCTTAAAAGAAAATGAAATCTCCATTATACATAGACTTATTTAATATTGTTGAGATGTTTTAATATTATCAGTTCCTTGTTATACATCTATTTCTAAAACCAGAGATTTTTAAGAAAATGACTACCAGTATGGTCTTCATTTTTTTATTCATAATCTACACATTGCTTATTGGATTGATGTGAATAAAAAATACCTTGCACAATATTTTGATAATATCAAATGTTATTAAGATAACTTTTCAGTCTGTAAAGATTTTTAAGATTAAAATAGTAACTTTTATTCTTATATGTATTTATGGTAAGATTTATGCTACATCAGGAAAAGGATCTATAAAGTATATTTCACACTTGTCATTCATTTTATCCAAGCAAGTATATAAACCAGGAAAAATATGATGATCAAATCAAAATAAAAGCAAAACATAGCTCTAGTTCAAAAATTAATGATATATTTTACGACCCCAAAAAGATCAATATTAAATGCTTTTTCACTTTGTTTTCCCCAAGAACCTACCCATACCAATGACATAATTGTTTCCATAGAAATAAATGTACGTCAGAGAAGAATTTCACACACCAGCGTGTATGTAATGGTAACCAAGGCAACAGGCTCAGAGAGAACAGAGACAAAGACAGACTGAATAAGAAAAATGGAAGAATATATAAACACACACACACACACACACACATAAACACACAGAGCTTAAAATGAATTTTCTCAGAAAATAATAAAATGAACCATGCACTTGTAATTGGAATATTTGGAATATAAGTTTTATTGCTTACTACTTACTTGGGCTCACTGAAGTAATTCAGCTGTGATTTAGTCACTTGCAAAATGTAGTAACAGACTCTGAGCTAAATATGCAAAATTACCCTCTTAATATAGAGTCTTCATTAACAGTAATATCACATGAAGTAGGGCCATAAGATATAATTTATCATTGTCCTTCAATATTACCATATAGAGTAAAATTGAAATGAAAAGAATTAAAGACCTAAATACAAGATTCCATTGTACCTTGATTCAATCCACATAAAAGGCTCAGAGTAATTTGATGCTATTTGCCCATACAGTAAGCCCAAGGATTCATAACACTCATATCCTCACCTCTCCTGACAAAGTTCAATTCTGCAAAGTAGAGAACAAAAGGTAACTATCAAAGTTACATCATATCAAGATATATGATATAGCAAAAGAAATGATCTGAGTTTTGTTTATAAGCTCTAGCTGCATTAACCATATTCATAAACATTTGTATCTTCCACCATAGACAGAATAGAAATAGGCTGCCTTCTCATCTACTTGTCCAAAGACTTACATTGTAAGTTGTTACATTGTAACAAACCTTGCAAAGGACAGGTCATCACTAGTAGCTCAGCAGTGAAAGATGAATTCAGACATAATAGAAACTTTTTGTTCAGAGTCAATCTTGACTGCCACTATTCAGATGCCAAGAAGAGCTAAATAATTCAGTAGTGGATTTATCCTAACTGTAAAAGCTCTGTGACTTACTTTATACGTTGAATTCATTCAAAAGTCCCTGATGCTCAACTAGCTGGAACATCATTTTTCAATTTGTAATGTATTGTTTATAATAATGGTATTTACAGCTAATTTCTTCTAAGACAGTTCTAAGTCTTTACTGATTGAGCAATAAGAAATATATTTTGAAATATGATAAACAGCATCAGAACATTTTTAGTAACAAGGTGATGGCATAGATTAGCATAAAATATCACAGAAAGCAGATGTCTTTTACTAATTGCAAATGGATGACTTGGGGATTGTTCACTGCTCTGCAGATTCAAATACCTTTGTAGCTAGAAGCAGTCAAAATGGCCTCACTAACTTTCCTAGGTAGAAAAGCTCTGTGTCATATACCCTGTCACAGCACTGTGAATCACTATGTATAAAAAAGTCCCAAGGCACACTGGATCATGAAGCAGCTTCTTGGTGATGCTGGGGGCAGGAAATATAGCCAAGTGATGCATAAATTAGAAACTACAGATTGAGGAGCTTCCAATGACACATCTATTCAAACACACACACACACACACACACACACACTTCTGCACACTGCTACATAACCCCATCATATTTGCTGATTTGTACTGATAGAAGAACAGTGCCACCAGCTCTTACAAGTCAGAGAAATTTGGACAGATTCCTGAGTCCCAAAACAAAAATTTCTGAAAATACGAGGAGACTTCCTAGGAGTCCTCCGGATTAGTTAGAAATGCAAGGAGGGGTATTTCCCTATGCTCATTTGAAATCCCCTGGAGTCTAAACCACAATCTGGCTAGAAATGGGTATAATAACTTTGGGATGAAAACATGCCTCCAGCATGCCCATCTGCCCTGCTACCCTGCCTTGAAACCAGCTGTCTATGAATTGAAAACTTAAAAATTGTGAGCCAAAATAAACACTCCCTACTTTAAATTGAAGTATTGGGCATTTTGTCCCAGTGATGAAGAAGTGATTAAGATAATATTTTGCGTTCAGATTTTGTTTCTAATTGCAGCAAACTAAAGCTACATATCACTTCAGTGTAAAATTTTATCTGTTGTCTATAAAATCATCTGTGGCTGTCAACTCAGATGAGAGAAATATAATCAACATAACAATGCAATGGAAGTACTCAAACTACATAATTGTTTATTGATTATCTTACTTATTAAGACATATTGAATTATTGAATACCTATCAAGGAATTATGTCACACCAAGAAATAAAAGGAAGACTAGAGCCTGTATACCTCTTGCTTTTAGAAGCTTACAGGACAGAAAGAAGGGACTTCACAGACACTGGACCAATGTGTGAATAGACAGAACTTGGTTATAATGGTTACAAAAAAACTAAAAATGTACTTGCACTTAAAAAAAAATCATTTTGAGGATAACAATGATTATCCCACTGAACCAGAGTCATGATACTACTTTGAAAAGAAACATTCATTTGTGTGAATTTTTTTTGTTCACATCTGAGTTCCACTGCATATTGGATGGGCCAAGTTGAGTAAATCTTTATCTGCGCTTTGAATTTTTGACTCTAGAAATTTGGATAATAATTCCTGAGTCTGTATCCTTGTGAAGATATCTGATGGATGAAATGGTTAGTATACAGTTGGCATTTAATATTTTAAAGTAGAATATGGAGGAAATATCTTTTTGTAGGGTAAGGAATTCAGCTTTAGCCCTCATGTGAGGTAAAGGAGTGGGTATCTGATGTGAAATTAGGGAGATGACTTCCAAAGAGCAGTCAAAGGTTTAGCATCACCCATACTACAGTGATAGAGGTCAACGTGCAGTCAAGGAAAATGCCAAGAAAGAGAATAAGGGATGCAAATTTAAATCTCACCTAAGACTACAATCAGGAATTACATGAAAGACACAGAAGACATAAAAGGATGGAGAGAATATGGAGGCAAGAATGACAGAAAATGAAGCAAGGTGTTTCATGCTGCAGATTCCAGTGACTAATAGCTTTCCAGAAAGCATGTTGAGGGGGTCTCTGTAGGCAGCTCACCCAAGCTCCACACGGCTGACTGTTCATCTGTCCTCCCAAATCCCACCTTCAGTGATATCATACTGGAAGGGCAAAATCATCTATATTGTGGGTATTTACATCGTGAAAATTAGCAAAAGGTATACATTAGAGCTTCCTTCCAGCCCTTGGGCAGCTGGTTGTTAAACATTTACCACCATGCATACAGATGGTACCCTTTTCTTCTTACATACTCACTAACCCATAACATCGAATGATGTGGAAATATAAAGAAAAGCATAGAAAATCCAATGCTTTGGCAATTGAAAGGCTTTTGGTAACTTCGAAAAAGACAGTTTGTAGAGAGTCATATAAGACATACAACAGATATGAACAGAAGCTGAAGAAATGAAAGCCACGGAATAAAAGGTCATTTAGAATCTGACTATTAAAAGAAGAGAGAGCCAGAAGAAGAATCAGCAGGAAATAAAAATATTTATAAAAGAAAAAACTGTTAAAAGTGATATTCTGGCATGGAAAAGGATTTTAGGTTTGAAAACTAACTTTCTTAGATGGAAAATTGAGGCTCATTAAGGATGAAATGTGTAGCATATACAAGAGATCTAAGAAGAAAGTTATTGAGCAGAAACGTAAGCAACAGAGAATGTTAAAATTATGGTGGAATTGGGTAAGTGATTGGAAGGGCAAATATTAAGAGAAACTGAGAAGGAGCAAAAGTATGTAACAAATACTTACATACTGGATGCACTGAAAAAACTATTAAATTTAAGAACCATGTTTTTCCTTAGTAATGAAGTATAGAGAGACAGTAAATATACAGTTTTGTATATTGAGTTCTGGTTTAACAAAGCCTGATGAAAGTCCAACTTTAATCAATGCAATGAATATCTAATAGGTTGGTTTTTGTCCTATATGAGCAGTTATATGACATTTACACTCAAGTCCTTAGTCACATTTTTATTTCCTCAGCATTTATTTTGTTTTGTTTTTGTTTTTTCTTGAAAATAAACATATATTATGAATGGCAAAAATGCGAGAGTAACTTGAATATATTAATTCACTATAGATACCGATATTCTGCCCAAAAATACATACCCAATAAGATCACAAGGGAATCTTTTTAATAAATTACAGAGAGGATGAAGTTATCACTTCTGGAAATGTGTGAAGAAAGAAAATGGGTAGGATAAATAATTTCCTTTCTGAGTTGACCTAAGGGAAGTCCTGTAAAAGCTGGAAATGTGCTGTGGGCTGCCAAGATTTCTTTTGGGTTTATGTTATCCTCTATCTGTTCAGTGTTTTAAAAAATCACTTTTCTACCTTTGACTTAATATTATGATTAAGGGAGTTTATGTAACTTTATACTTACACTTGGGTGAGTCAAAAGGAAAGTATGCTC